GCCTTAGTACCTGTTTGAGTTCGGGGGTGTACCTCACAGAAAAGGGTATGGTGAAGACGGTTGAGGGATGACCACACATTTCCTTCTCGGAAGCAGCCGTGTGATGAGGGTAACTGTTGTGCCCTGGTGGCTGGGGTGGGAGCAGGGGGCGGGAGGGGGGAAGTGGCTGCTCGTTTCGGTCCTCCCCGGTCCTCCCCCAGTTTGCACAGGGCTCTTTGTGCGAGTGTTGGAACTGGCTGGAGGAAGACCAGAGGCTGGACGCAGACCCAGCATTAGCAAAGCCGCGGGAATCCCACATAGTCATTTAATGTCACAATTCCCTAAAGTCATCAAAGAAGCTGAGTTTTTATGTAATCCTGCTTGTAAAACACCACAAAATATCATGTGTTGCTTTGAAGTGTAAGTCATGGCTATCAGCATCCTATCTGAGAGGCAGCCTGACCTGGTGCAGAAAGCTCACGGAAGCTCCGGCACTCACTGCTTCGCTGTCTGAACGAGGTGCTCTGAGGTTCCTACTGAATCGAAGGTTCTGTGACTCCTGATGTCAGGCTGTGAAAGGAAGGGAGACAGTGAGTGGGGTTAGATTCCAGCTGCACGTGGGGGAGCCTGTGGGGGCCTCCTGAGGAAGATCTGTGGAGACTGTCCCCAGCGGGCCAGAGCACGGTGCCTGTGGGGACCGCCTGGGCCGGCTCTGGGATGGGGCGCGGTGAGGGGGGGTGGGTGTTGCTGTGGAGGGGCTGGGGGCACTGAGCCGGTTGCAGGAGGGCAGGGCTGCATGAGAAGGGAAGAGAGGGAAGAGATCCGAATTCAGGGATCTCTCGGGGCGAGGTGGCAGGAGAGTAGCCCCTTAGGGAACCACGGGGACCTCCTGCCTGGTTTTCTCACCCGAGGGAAGGCCCTCCCTGCCGACCCACAGCAGTTATCTCTTACTCGTTCCTTCATCCATTTTCCCAGTGTTTACTGATCCCTCCTCTGTGGTGTTGGCTGCGCAGCTGTTAGCACATCAGACTGGAGTCCAGTCTGAGTGAGGCAGAGAGAGAACAGATGGACAAGGAGTTAACCCGACATGGGGACTGGCCTGCCCTGGGGACTCACAGGGCCTGGTGGCTTGCGGCCTCTTCTTTTGGGGGCTTAGATGCACTGTGCCCTCACTTGGAAGATAACTATACTGGATTAAACTCACTTTGATATGGGGGGAAAAAGTTTTTCAGGATAACCCCACCCTGTCTGCCCCCTCCAGTTTGCAGCAAGGACTTGCAGGCTCTCTTTTGCGTTGTTCTTTGACGCCCGTGGGAGTGGCCCTTTTCCAGTGCTCTGCCCTCCTCTTGGACACAGCTGTGTCCGGGACTGGGTTTTATGGGGAGTGTCCCGCAGCACTTGGTTCTGCTCTCTGCGAGGTTGCTGGAGGGGGGCCCGGGCCTGACTGAGACGGCGAGCAGGCAGGCCGGGAGCAGGAGAGGAGGGGAAGACTGACGGAGGCGCCCAGATGTGAGCAGGAGCCTCCCCTGTGTGGGTCCCAGCGGGAGACTTTGGGCCCCGATGTCAGCTTGCGTCCAGTAGGAAGGGCTCCTGGAGATCTGGGAATGGCCACACTGGAATGAAAGAGGCTGTACTGGAA